CTCTCTGAGTGACACAGGGCAGTCATCCTTAACTGGTGTCACAGGCTGCTGTAATTCTCCGACATCACGTCCTGGTAGCTGCCGCTCCTCCTAGGTAAAGTCCACCGACCACATCCTCGAGTGACATTAATCCCTGCAATTACCACACATTCTTCCTCAATTTGTGATGATCATTTCTGATGAGAAAAAGACCTACAGATACACCTTCTGACTGTTTTCACCATTAGTTACAAAGACTATATCTCTGTGTAACAGTTTTCATTGGAAGGAAGTAAAGTGCCATTAAATCTATCTGGCAACTGAACACCTAATCCAGTAAAATTAGAAGTTTTTGTAAGGCATACTGATTAAATTCTACATGTAGGACATCCCTAAGATAGTAATCTCTGAAAACCATTTTTGACGTCTGTTTAAAAGGTAGAGAACTAAGTGCTAACATATAAACACAGCAAAATCTGTCCTCAAAGAGCTTTTATCTTGAACATTTTCCAACAGATAGAACAAAGAATAGACTCAGATATGAAATGACTACACGTGCAGGAACTATCAGCACTGAACATTAATAGGAATATTCAATATAAATATTTAATATATTGAGAAATAAGCTATCTTAAATATGGAGAAGGAATAAGGTATTATTGAAATGACCACTTAGATGTATATAAACCAGAAGAAAATTTTAAAAATAGTCAATCCTCATTATTTATGGATCTATTGGGAATTCACCACCTACTAAAATTCCTCTGTAACCCAAAATCAATAGTCGCAGCACGTCTGTGACCATCTGCAGACACACAGACACAATTCTAAAGATGCCCCTCCAGATTCCTGTCCCTTAATTGGTCAAACAAACATTAATTTTGGAAGTGCTGTGAAGGGAGTCTGGAGATGTGATTAAGGTTACTAATAACCTGACCACAGGATAGGGAGATTAACCTGAATTATCAGTGGGCCCAGTGCAGTCACATACTAGTTTAAAGGAAGAGACAGTCAGATATGTGTCAGAAAGGGAAGCTGAAGAGATCTGAAGTACAAGAGGAACTCAAACGCCTGCTCGAGGGGGATCACATGGAAAGCGTCAACAGGAAAGCAGGCAGTCTCTAGGAGAAAAGATCGACCCCCCAGCTGACAGACAGCGAAGAAACAATGATCTCAGTCTTACAGTCACAAGAGAATGGGTTCTACCTACAACCTGCATAAGCTTGGAAGTGGATTCTCACCAGCACTTTGTTGGCCCATACTGTGATTTCAATCTCAAGAAAAAGGGAGCAGGGAAACCAGCCATGCCCACTCAAACTTCTGATTTAAGGGACTGTGAAATAATACATTGGCAGTGTTTTAAGATGCTAAGAGTTGGTGAGAATTTGTTTCAGCACCAACAGAAAATTAACACATTATTGATACCAAAAACATTAAAAACGTTTTTCTTTTAATGGAGGTACTGGGGATTGAACCCAGGACCTTGCATATGCTAAGCATGCACCCTACCACTGAGGTATACTTCCACCCCTCAAAAACAACTTGTAATTCAATTTAAATACATCATAAATTCTTACACATATATTCACCAGTATTCCTTTTATTTGAACACTATGGCCTACATTTCCCCATTCTACCTTTGTCCTAATCTCAGTTTGATGGTTTATTTTTTCTCAAATTCTGAATTTAGTAACATGCATGTTTCCATTTAATAGTTATTTTTACAAGCCTCTGTAAATTCAGGAGGAAGAAAGGCAAAATAGAGAAACAGAGAAAAACTCACCAGGGCCTTCCTTAGTCGTTTTCTCCCATTCTTAGAAAATGACCAACATTTCTAGGGTATGGTCTACTCTGTTGTCTTTTTGGGTTCTGAACATCTGACAGAAGATCTCTGATCAAGGGTAAAGGAGACATTTCAGAGAAGGGCCTGGCTTTTAGAATTTTAACAATTACTCAACTCCTCTTTTTTGATGAAGGACAAATTCTTAAAAGCACAAGGCTGGGACTGGCAAAAGGAGCCCCAGAGATCAGATGAATCAGCCCATATATGACCTATGAATTTCTAGTCTCTACCTCCACTCCTAAGCATAGACACAAAGAGAGAGCCAGCTGCTCCCCTGAACAAGATCAGCACTGGGCAACTTGTGGTGGAGTGGCTGACTCTCTATTTCTCTGAGGTCCAGAAGGTTCTAGAATCTAGAAGCCCAAGTTCTAGCCTGGAAATCAAGACAACGTGGGTGCAGCGACATGGATGGACCTAGAGATTATCATACTAAGTGAAGTATGTCAGACAGAAAAAGACAAATACCATATTGATATCACTTACATGTGGAATCTAAAAAAATGACACAAATGAACTTACTTATTAAAAAAAAAAAACCAGACTCACAGACATAGAAAACAAAGTTGTGGTTACCAGGGGGCAAAGGTGCTGGGGGGGAGGGATAAATCGGGAGTTGGGGGATTGACAGACTAACTACTATAGATAAAACAGATAAATAACAAGGTCCTACCATATAGCACAGGGACCTATAATTCAACACCTTGTAATAACTTATAATGAAGAAAATGTGAAAAGGAATCTATATACATATATACACATGTATAGCTGAAACGCTATGCTGTACACCAGAAATTAACACAACACTGTAAACGGACTATATATACATCAATATCAAAAAAAAAAGACAAAGTGGGTGGAATCTGTAAATCTTAAAACTAGGGTTGTAGGTTCTAAAGTATGCAAATCAAATTTCTTTTGTCCTAAATCATCTTCCCATTCATAATAATAATACTATTTAAAAGTTGTTCACTTAGTCCTCAAGACACTGCATGGCAGAGAGTGTTCTAGAAGTTTTCTGTTCCTGGTAACAGAGCTGGTAAGAAGAGGCTATAGGACTGGACATCCCATAGGACACACTAAAATTCCCCTCCCAGGTCCCCAACACAGGATCCACCTGGCCCCCTAGAGCAGGAGGGATGAAGGTGGAAGGAGGAGGATGTCCCACACAGCAAAGGAGTTCCTGGAGCCATCACTCACCCAGGCCACACAGCAGGGTAGACCCACAAGCTCTGACCTGGCCGGAGCGGAGCACTAGGTGGGCTCAGAATCCACCCAGGCAAGACCAACTCCCTCACACGGCGCAGACAGAAACTGCAGCAGCCTTCAGTTGGGGTTCTGGCAGGTACCCTCCTTCAACCACCACTGTACCCGAGTAGAATTCACTCATGTAGGGAAAAATGGCAGGAGATGCACGGTGTGTCCCAGAAACCACCACGGTGACCAAACATCCAAGGCGCACCAGCCCCTAACTAGGACGGTAACGTACCCTAAACCGTGCCTCCCAGACACAGCAGCGCAGCACAGGCGCCAGCCCCCAGGGAAAGGAGGGGGCGAGTCAAGGCCGAACGACACTCCACCAGTCCGGCTGCGCTCGGTTCTCCTCATGGGACCGGGTCCTCACTGGCAGCAGCAGCTTCCTTCTGGTCCCTTCCCAGGAGGCTGAACACCCTGGGGACAGGGGCTCCGGCACCTGGAATGGCCTCATCTGCCCCTCCCTTGTGGGGAGAGAGCCTCACAGTAAATTCTACTTTTTATAATCCCCTTGATGTAACCTTTCTGAGCATACAGAGTATTTAAAGTAACGTTTTAACACCGTTTTGTACTAATTCTATCCCCTGTGCCATTTCTGCGTCTCTGTTGACTTTCCTTCATATGTATGGGTCCTGTTTTCCTGCTGCTTTGCATACCTGGGTAGGTTTTGATTAGATGACAGATGCTTTGAATTTTACATGACTGGTTGATGGACTGCTTCCTATTCCTTTGACTACTGCTGGGTTTTGTTCTGGGAAGCAGTTAAGTTACTTAGAAAGTTTGGTTCTTTCAGTGGTTTGCATCAGT